AAATAATTATTTAAAATAAAATAAAATAAGAGAAATAAACAGAATATTATAAACTATAATGGAAGTAAGTATTGCAAAACTAAACTTGAATGATAGTTTGTGCAATTATCTCTTTTATCTTTTGGTTATAATGATTTTCTAGAAAAATAGCTTAAATTGAGTGATTTTATAAAAGAAAATCCATAAGTTGAGTGACTTTATTGATATAAAATCAAGTTGAGTGGCTTTCTCAAATAATTTCACATACTTGAGTGACCTTTTCAGATATTTACTCTAATTTATGAACCCCTAACAAAATTGATTGACAGTTATTAGCGAAATTTAGAATCCCAAACTCTTAATTCTGGCTTCGTCTCTGAATTTATCAATCCACTATATCCATTGCTTCATTTGGACCTGTTTCATTCTGATACTCAACAATATCCGGTTCTCTTCACATTTGACAGACATTCAGTAATCTGGACCAAGTTCTTAACGCGATTGTTATCAGGTTCTGGTTTATAGCAGATGATTGTAAATCCGCCAACAAGATAGAACTACGAGTCTGATACAAAATACAACTGACACAATATCAGGTTTTAGGTACACAAGTTATCTCTAACATATACAAATTAATCGAGACTAGTTATATGAATCCTCGATATCCATTTAGCTTTGGTTATATCAATCCTTAATCTAAGGTAAGTATGCAAGCAATACTCTTTTAAGTTGCAAATATATATCACTAATCAAATGTGGAGAATTTCATATATACAAATACGATTTTGTTTGTTCAAAGTATATCATGAATAATTCACCAAAGGTATGGCTCCAGCACTACAAAATCCAAGGTTACGATATCAGGGAAAGTGAACGAGGCATTGTAATTCTTAGTCATCTTCATTAGCTTGTTCCCAGTTGCTGAACATACGAATGAATCTGATTATATTATCTATAATACGAATAATACTCTTTCACCCTGAAAAGCAAGGGAACAATCCACAAGGTTTCCTTTAACATTCTATGTGTACAAGTTGGAATCAAGTTATGTGAATCCTCTATATATCCATTTTCCTTCATTTGGACCTGTTTCATTTCAATACTCAACAATATTGGGTTCTCTTCACATTCTAGAGACATTCAAATATCTAATTATACGGAAAAAAAAGGTTTATACCAAACCAAGTTTTTAACACAATTGTTATCAGGATTCTAGTTTATAGCAAATGATTGTAAATCTGATAACGAGATAGAACTTCAAGTCTAATATGAAAGAAAACAGATCATTAAGAGACTTCATAGTTTCGATCCATACAGTCAGCAGCAACTATTAATTAGTGTTCAACATTAGCTTCCACTTCCTGAAATTCAATTGTACAAAACAAATAGTTACAAAATTTTCACGTGACTTGTAAAAACAGAGTATTCATACATCAGAGGTAGCAGTACCTCTGATGTATGAATGTGAAAGCAGGTGCAGCACACCTATGTATCTTAATATTTTGAGGATATTTGATGGTGAACAATTTTGTCCAAGATACATTAACTCCAGAATGCTTCATAATCCATACATCAGAGGTAGCAGCACCTCGTTGACAAGTATAAAGCAGAGAAAGATCACTTCCCACAACTCCCACGTTGATATAAGAATTGTCTTTTCCACAACTGGGAAGCTCCAACCTTTCCCATGTCCCGTCTGCTAAATCAAAAGAAGTGATGTTGCACACCTTGTAATTATTAATACAACTCGATGAAGTCCAATAAAGCTTCCCATTGACAAATCTACCATGAAGATTTAATAGAAAGAAGCCCTGAAGCTGATCATGGAGTGTTGTCCAAGACTTAGTCCTCAAACTGTATATGTTGACCACAGTCCTATGATTATGACGATGAATAGGATAATCGATAAATACAACTTTATAATCATCACGTGACTCATCATATCCGAAACCACATTTGATACCATCAGAGCACAAATTACTCCTAGACTTTGGTAATTCCTTTGACTTGGTAATAGTGGGGTTCCATATATATGCCTCTCTTTGGCGGACATGGGCAGCACAAATCAACCCATTGACAGAGCCGACAATGTGAGTTGATAAAGTGGTTCTTTCGATGGGGGAATCGATGTGGTATAGCTCCTTAATGAGTTGTTGTTGGGTAAACAAGGGAGGGAGAGGACAAAACTTGAAATCATCGTTGGTGTTTCGAAATATAAGTCTGTGATAGATGTATCCTTTGTCATCAGCAGTTAACTTGATATGGTTCTTCACAAAAGCAGGGCTAGAGATTAGTTGAAGCCATGATTTTGAAACGCACATGAATTTCAACAGAGATTTGATAGGAAGCTTTAACAGAATCTCTGTTATGAGTTCATCAGGAAGAAGAAGAGGAGGGATTATGGAATCACTTGCCATAGCAGAAGGATGTTTTTTTCTGAATGGTAGTAGTTTGTGCACTAAGTGTACAAGGAGTTGTAATTTTGATTGCAGCACAGTTTATTACTTTAAATAGGTTCCGCTTCTTAATAGGTGTTAAAAAGGGGTGATACTGATTGTTAAATACTTTCAATTAAATTCTTTAATTAATTCATTCGGATCTTCACATCTATTTTACAGTTTTATTCATCAGAGAAATCAATGTATACAGTTCTATAATCTCAAAAATTCTTGCTCTAATCTGACCTAGCTGACGGAAGAAGCTAAATAAAGAACTCTTACAAGTTATCGGCTAAATGATTGTGAGGTTTCATGATATCAATAGGGGATCAACAAGGCTTTCTACATAGATTTCTGCAGCAGCACATTCCTCAAATCGATCAACAACCTCTACTTGTCTGGTTGAACCGTTATATGTCAAGATAACGGGGGGAAGTAAAAGTAAAATTTCATCCTTATTCGACTGGTAACAAGGTACGGAGAAAATGGATGTAAAGAATATAAACTCCCCAAGGTCTTTAGGATGATCGACAGTAAAAATCTTTGTCCATGATACTTCAACTCCACAATCCTTCCTAATCCACACATCGGAATTAGTTCCTTCAATACAATTAAGACAAAGCACAGAAAGATGACTTCCCACCACTCCCAGTGCCAACGGATAACTACCTTTTCCATAACTATCCGGAAGCTCCAACCTTCTCCACGTCTCGTCTGCTAAATCAAGAGAAATGATATTGCACATATTGAACGTATCAACATCAGCAGATAAAGCCCAATAAATCTTTCCATTGACAAATTTACCTGGAGAATTTACTAGAAAATTGCCCTGAAACTTGTTAATTGTTCTCCAAGAATCAGCCTTCAAACTGTATATGTTGACTACAGAATCACACGAACCACTATCCTCATAAATACATTGAATAACTACCACTTTGTAATCATCACGTGTTTCGTCATATCCAAAACCATATTTGAGATAGTAAGAGCAACCGTTCCTCAGTTTAGCTCCAAGTGTAGGCAATTTCTTAGACTTCTTTACAGCGGGGTTCCATAGAACTGTCTCCTCTATCTTACTATACAGACAAATCAATCCATTGACAGAACCGACAATCCAAGTATAAATAGTGGGGTTTTCCATGGGAGAACCAATGTCAAATAGCTCAGTGCTTCGTTCTTTGTTAAGCATGGAAGGGAGACAACATACCTTAAAATTGCATGCGGATTCTTGAAAAATAATCCTGTGGTGGCTGTATTCTTTGTCATTAGCTATTAATTCCAAATGGGTTTTTATAAACTTTGCGCTGGAGATTAGTTCAAGCCATGTTTTTGAAACACACATGAACTTCAACAGAGACTTTGGTGGCACCTTTAAGAGGATCTCTATGATGATTTCATGAGGAAGAACTGAGATTATTGATTCAGCCATAAGTCTAATGGTGCAGCTTTTGTGTGTACTTTTTGTTAGTTTAACAACAGAAATAGTCGAGGTAGAGGGTAAGGTTTGCGTAGACTTATGATGTTGTAAGGTCAAGAAACAAACATAGAAACTTATAGAGAAAGGGAAACGGCTGATGGATCTTATCTTTATGATATCCTATTAGACATGGCTGAGATCCCCAAGCTACGTGGTGAAGAGATCAATGTTTTTGGAGGGAAATGGTCAGTGATAACATCATCTTTCACATTTTTTCTAATTGTTTTCTGGATTTTATATCATAAATAATTATTAAGATTCAGGACAAATGCTAGGTGAATGTGATATTTTATATTTTTTTCTATCTCAATGTTCAGTTGCTTGTAATTATCAGTCGTCTTCATTGTAGTTTAGGCCAAATGCTAGTTGGAGCTTGTACGGAATGTGAGAAATTTTCAGTGCCTAATTGCTTAGTTTATTGAAACAGAGCTAATAATATATATACTCTTTGTCTCTTTCACCCTGAAACAATCCACAAGGTTTCCTCTTAACAAAAATTATCAATCCAATACCGAAAACAAATAATAAATCATGTTGCTAAGAAATATTTTTTGTACGTGCAAATTCTTCTTCTGTTGTAGGCATGATTGTACTTAATATGAGGTTTTATTTTTCTAGTCAAGGTCAAAAGGGTCACTGAACTTTTGAAGGGTAATTTCGTAAATCAACTGGGGCTTCCTACTTCTAGAAAAAGTATGATGATATGTTAAATATTTTGATAATTTTATTTTTAAAAATAAATTGTTTTTGGGCGTTTGTACATAAACATAAATCCTAATTTGGATAGAAGTAGATATTTGAAGTATAGAGGGATTGGGAAGTACCGCCTAAATACTTTGCCTATTTATATCAACTCCTTTTGCACCGTATTATTCATACAAGTTTAAAGGATTTCGGAAGTTCCGCTTTGGCTATATATATTTGATCCTTCCATCTCACCTAAATAATTACTCATTCTTTTTCTTTTGAAACATGTCTTCGTCATCGAGAAGTGACACATTATTATGTTTGTTTCTACTGTTGGGTTGCATAGGCATTGCTACTGCCACTGCAACGGAACCCAAAACAGAATCGTTTGGTACTTCTTCAATTGGATTGTGGCCCCGATGGTGGTGGCATACTCACCCAAAAATACCATCACCACCTACTCCATCTCCATCTCCAATTGATAATGCGGCTTCACCAATGCATATGGCTCCATCCCCAGTTGATGATGTGGTTTCGCCACCACACACGACCCCGGCTACATCCACTTCTTGCACCAAGATGGACGGTTGTGCATTAGATTTGATCACTTCCGTTTTCAAGCTTAGAATTTCATTATCCACTCAATGCTGCCAAGGACTTTTAACAATTTCAGATGATTGCTTTTACAGAGAGTACACACACACAAAGAGGGTACCATTTTTCCTTGGAAAAGTGAGAAACTTTTGTAGTCATGCTGTTAATAATGCGGCTCCATCTCCATCTCCCGTTGATAATGTGGCTTCACCTACTCATGCGGCTCCATCTCCATCTCTAGTTGATAATGCGGCTTCACCTACTCAAGCAGCTCCATACCCATCCCCAGTTGATGATGTTGTTTCTCCATCGCACATGGCTCGCTCTTGGGGTCCGGCCCCTTCTCCAATCACTTCTTGCATCAAGGTGAACGGTTGTGCATTCAATTTGATCACTTCCGTTTTCAAGCGTAAAATTTCATTATCCACACAATGCTGCCAAGTACTTTCTACAATTTCAGATGATTGCTTTTACAAAGAGTTCACGCACTCCAAGAGGGTACCATTTTTCCTACGCAAAGTGAGGAACTATTGCAGTCATCATCAAGCCTGAAGCAGATTTTTTTTTGGTCATTTAGCTTATTTTATTTAGGATTTTTCCCCTTAATAGGTTTTTAGGTGCTAGTTAAATACTTTCGATTAAATTCTTTATTTAGTTTAATTGGATTTTCATCTATATTAATTTTACAGTTTAATTACTACTCTCTCTGCACATACCTTTATTTGTCCATGTTTGACTTGGCACACTCCTTTACTATTACTCCTAGACTGTTGATAATGCGAACTATGGAACACAACCTTTTACTTATTCGCAATATGGTAGGCGTATCAGTCAACTATACCTTGGTCCGAATGAAGTTGAGTAGTTATATGAATTTCTGCAACTATTTCTTTCTATTCGACCCCAACATCCCAACAAATTAATTAATAGGAAGACTTACTATGACATTTTTACACTACCTAGATAAAGACTTTTATCAGCTCGATTGTTTTTTTTTTTTTTACAAAATATAACTGAAAATCGAATTCCTAAAACTTCTGATTTGATGCATTACTTTCTGAATAGTTTTGTAGGGTTCTGAGCATTAAGTTTCTTTATTCTGGCAACAATATTTGTATTTGATTTTAGTTATTTGGAGGCTGATTTATGTGATGACGAGTAATGGCAAGGGAAAACAAAGCATTTATGGGTGAAACAGAGCTTCTTAGTGTTGAAGTAAAGAGAAATATGGCAGTTGCAGAGACGGATTTTGATTGTTGTGATTCTACTGATGATTCTGAAATTGAGAGCTATAAGTATCCTTAATTCAATCCAAAGATTAGCCCCAGCGTCAAGTAAGAAAACAGCGAGACATGGACTTGGTTCTTGATTTATTTGGCTGACGATTTGGATATACATGATGATGAGGCTATGTTCGACAAAAAAAAGGGTCTTAATGAAGCTCTAAAGATATTACCATATGTTATTCATTAGAGAAATCAATGTACACTGTTCTATAATCAAGTAAGCTATTTTAACCGATCTCTGTAGCTGAAAAGCAGGGGAACAATTCACAAAGTTTCTTTTAACATTCTTTGGTTACAAGTCGGAGTCAAGTTCTATGAATCCTCATTATACAAGAAAGAACTAAAAGTCTGATACTATATACAACAGACACGATGGAGAAATAAAACAGATTATTACATTGTTTCGATCTACTTCCTGAAATTCAGTACAACAACAACACTTCTTGAAATTTAATAGTACTAAACAAGTTAAGCTTGGATCTATCAAAACAGTGCATAACACTACAAAATAACCACCTAGGTTAAGCAAAAGTAACACCATAGATACGAGTGAATCATCATTTCTCAATGTAAAAGGATATTAGCAATGAAACTCTAAGCAGCCTATAGAAAAGAATATTCTCCTTTTACACCAAACGTATAAAAGAACAGAACTCTTCATATGTCGTGATTTCGAAACAGACATACATTTGAAGAGAGACTCAGTGGGGAAGCCTTAAGAGGATATATGTTATGATTTCATTTGGGATTATGGAATCAGTACTTGTAGAAGTTGGAGTGAAGAAGAAATCATACCATGAGAGGAGTTTGAGTAGAACAGTCTCAATCCAATCTTGAAAAGAAAGAAACGAAAACATGTTTTAGTCATATGAGGTAACAATCACAAAAATTGGTAGCAGAGCAGTGAAAGGCGGAAGGATTTTTTTCTGTAAAGTGAGGCAGTAGCAGAGCAGAACAGAGGAGGCAGTTTTAGACCTGTTAATTAAATATTTAAGTATCACATTAACGCTAGATCGTGAAGCGAATAATTGTATATTGAGTCAAACATGTCTAAATGAAGAAATTGATGATTCATATACAAGCAATACCAGCATAAACACAATGCTTGTATTTATAAAAAAATATAGTCTCTCCAAACGTGCGTTTGCAAGTTTTCAACATAATTGTCAAATGATTATGATTGTGAGGTTTCATGATATGAATAGGGGATCAACAAGGCTTTCTACATAGATTTCTGCAGCAGCACATTCCTCAAATTGATCAGCAACCTCTACTTGTCTGGTTGAACCGTTATATGTCATGATAACGGAGGGAAGTAAAAGTAAAATTTCATCCATATTCGACTTGTAACAAGGTACGGAGAAAATGGATGTAAAGAATATAAACTCCCAAGGTCTTTAGGATGATCGACAGTAAAAATCTTTGTCCATGATACTTCAACTCCACAATCCTTCCTAATCCATACATCGGAATTAGTTCCTTCAAGACAATTAAGACAAAGCACAGAAAGATGACTTCCCACCACTCCCAGTGCCAACGGATAACTACCTTTTCCATAATTATCCGGAAGCTCCAACTTCTCCATGTCTCGTCTGCTAAATCAAGAGAAATGATGTTGCACATATTGAACGTATCAACATCAGCTGATAAAGCCCAATAAAGCTTTCCATCGACAAATTTACCCAGAGAATTTACTAGAAAATTGCCCTGAAACTGTCTCCTCTATCTTACTATACAGACATATCAATCTATTGACAGAACCGACTATCCAAGTATAAATAGTGGGGTTTTCCATGGGAGAACCAATGTCAAATAGGTCGGTGCTTCGTTCTTTGTTAAGCATGGAAGGGAGACAACATACCTTAAAATTGCATGTGGATTCTTGAAATATAATCCTGTGGTGGCTGAGATCCCCAAGCTACGTGGCGAAGAGATCAATGTTTTTGAAGGGTAATTGTTTAAAAATTTTCATTGTTGTTATTTTTTTTAACAAAAAATGTTTTTGGCGGTTGTCTTGATTGAGGAGGAGTCATAGTTTGATTGCAACACAGTCTTGAACTATAATTTTTATTAAAATTGGATGACTGGAGGTGACATATATAGAAATCCTAATTTGGATAGAAGTAGATATTTGAAGCATAAATGGACTGGGATTAAGTATCCCTTAAATTGTTTGTGGCGTTTGTACATAAACAGAAATCCAAATTTGGATTGAATTAGATATTTGAAGTATAAAGGGATTGGGAAGTACCGCCTAGATTCTTTGCCTATTTATATAAACTCATATCGCACCTAATTAATTATTCATTCAAGTTTAAAGGATTTGGAAGTATCGCCTGTAATTCTTTGGCTATATATATTTGTTCCTTCCATCTCACCTAATTAATTACTCATTCTTTCTTCTGAAACATGTCGTCGTTGTTGAGAAGTGCCACATTGTTATGTCTGTTTCTGCTGTTGGGTTGCATAGGCATTGCTACGGTCACTGCAACCGAACCCAAAACAAAATCGTTTGGTACTTCTTCAATTGGATTGTGGCCCCGATGGAGGTGGCGTACTCACCCAAAAATACCATCACCACCAACTCCATCTCCATCTGCGATTGATAATGCTGCTTCACCAACACATATGGCTCCATCCCTAATTGATGATGTGGTTTTGCCACCACACATGGTTCCGTCTTGGGGCCTGGTCCTGGCTCCAACTACTTCTTGCATCAAGGTGGACGGTTGTGCATTAGATTTGATCACTTCTGTTTTCAAGCGTAGAATTTCATTATCCACTCAATGCTGCCAAGTACTTTTAACAATTTCAGATGATTGCTTTTACAGAGAGTACACTCACTCAAAGAGGGTACCATTTTTCCTTGGAAAAGTGAGAAACTTTTGTAGTCATGCGGTTGATAATGCGGCTCCATCTCCATCTCTACTTGATAATGCGGCTTCACCAACTCATGCGTCTCCATCTCCATCTCCCGTTGATAATGTGGCTTCACCAACTCATGTGGCTTCACCTACTCATGCGGCTCCATCTCCATCTCTAGTTGATAATGCGGCTTCACCAACTCATGCGGTTCCATCCCCATCCCCAGTTGATGATGTCGTTTCTCCATTTCACATGGCTTCCTCTTGGGGCCCAGCCCCGGCTCCAACCACTTCTTGCATCAAGGTGGACGCTTGTGCATTCAATTTGATCACTTCCGTTTTCAAGCGTAAAATTTCATTATCCACACAATGCTGCCAAGTACTTTCTACAATTTCAGATGATTGCTTTTACAAAGAGTTCACGCACTCCAAGAGGGTACCATTTTTCCTACGCAAAGTGAGGAACTATTGTAGTCATCATCAAGCCTGAAGCAGATTTTTTTTTTGGTCATTTAGCTTATTTTATTTAGGATTTTCCCCCTTAATAGGTTTTTAGGTGTTAGTTAAATACTTTCGATTAAATTCTTTGATTAGTTTAATTGAATTTTCATCTCTATTTTACAGTTTAATTACTACTCTCTCCGCGTACCTTTATTTGTCCATGTTTGACTTGACACACTCCTTTACTATCACTCCTAGACTATTGATAATGTTAACTATGGAACACAACCTTTTACTTATTTGTGATATGGTAGACATATCAATCAACTATACCTTGGTCCTAATAAAGTTGAGTACAGTTATATGAATCTTCCGCAACTATTCCTTTCTATTCGACCCCAACATCCCAACAAATTAATTAATAAGTAAGAAGACTTACCATGACAATTTTACACTAGCTATCAACCTGCCACAGTCGTACAACCTACAAGTAAGACTTTGTTAGCTCAAAATAATTGAAAATCAAATTACTAAAACTTCTGATTTGATTCACTACTTTCTGAATAGTTTATTGTTTATAGGTTCTGAGCATCAAATTTCTTTATTCTGGCCGTAATGTTGTATTTGATTATTAGGACAAGCATTCATCAGTGGCAGACTGGCAGCTTAGAGTATACCAATGAATCGATCTTTAAGAAGATGGCGGACAAGCATTACATCAGTTCTTGCCTCTGTATCGAATCTTACACTATCTATCCTAGAAATAATTTACTTTGAATTGTCTCCTCGAATCAG